CATCTTGTCTGTTTGCTGTATCATGTCTATTTGCTGTATCATGTCTGTTTGCTATATCATGTCTGTTTGCTATATCATATCTGTTTGCTATATCATTTCTATTTGCTGTATCATGTCTGTTTGCTGTATCATATCTGTTTGCTATATCATGTCTGTTTACTGTATCATGTCTGTTTGCTGTATCATGTCTGTTTGCTGTATCATATCTGTTTGCTTTATTATGTATGTTTGCTGTATCATGTCTGTTTGCTATATCATGTCTGTTTGCTGTTTCATGTCTGTTTGCTATATCATGTCTGTTTGCTGTATCATGTCTGTTTGCTATATCATGTCTGTTTGCTATATCATGTCTGTTTGCTGTATCATGTCTGTTTGCTATATCATGTCTGTTTGCTATATCATGTCTGTTTGCTATATCATGTCTGTTTGCTGTATCATGTCTGTTTGCTATATCATGTCTGTTTGCTATATCATGTCTGTTTGCTGTTTCATGTCTGTTTGCTATATCATGTCTGTTTGCTGTATCATGTCTGTTTGCTATATCATGTCTGTTTGCTATATCATGTCTGTTTGCTATATCATGTCTGTTTTCTGTATCATGTCTGTTTGCTATATCATGTCTGTTTGCTATATCATGTCTGTTTGCTATATCATGTCTGTTTGCTGTATCATGTCTGTTTGCTATATCATGTCTGTTTGCTGTTTCATGTCTGTTTGCTATATCATATCTGTTTGCTGTATCATGTCTGTTTGCTGTATCATGTCTGCTTGCTTTATTATGTATGTTTGCTGTATCATGTCTGCTTGCTTTATTATGTATGTTTGCTGTATCATATTTGTTTGCTATATGATGTATGTTTGCTATATCATATTTGTTTGCTATATCATGTCTGTTTGCTTTATTATGTATGTTTACTGTATCATGTCTGTTTGCTGTATCATGTCTGTTTGCTATATCATGTATGTTTGCTGTTTCATGTCTGTTTGCTATATCATATCTGTTTGCTATGTCATATATGTTTGCTATATCATATATATGTTTGCTATATCATATTTGTTTGCTATATGATGTATGTTTGCTATATCATATATGTTTGCTATATCATATCTGTTTGCTTTATTATGTATGTTTACTGTATCATGTCTGTTTGCTGTATCATGTCTGTTTGCTATATCATGTCTGTTTGCTGTTTCATGTCTGTTTGCTATATCATATCTGTTTGCTGTATCATGTCTGTTTGCTGTATCATGTCTGCTTGCTTTATTATGTATGTTTGCTGTATCATGTCTGCTTGCTTTATTATGTATGTTTGCTGTATCATATTTGTTTGCTATATGATGTATGTTTGCTATATCATATTTGTTTGCTATATCATGTCTGTTTGCTATATCATGTCTACTGATATTGTTGAGTAAAATTATGTCTGTTTCAGAAAGAAGAAAAGAAAGGATGCAAAACATCATGTCGAACATTCGGCTGTGGAGGAACAGAAAGATCCCATGAAAGATGCTGAACTTCAGCTCATGCAGAGGTAAGTGAAGCTTCACTGTCAGAATAAGGAAACCTACAAAGAAAACTAAAGCCAAATAGATAAATACACACAACTCAATCAGTCTCACCCAAGTAGATAAGTAAACACAACTCAGTCAGTCTAAACCAAATAAATAAGTATACACAACTCAATCAATCTGAACCAAATAGATAAGTAAGCACAACTCAGTCAATCTGAACCACATAGATAAATACACACAACTCTATTAGTCTGAACCAAATAGATAAGTATGCGCAACTCTATCAGTCTGAACCAAATAGATAAGTATGCACAACTCTATCAGTCTGAACCAAATAGATAAGTATGCGCAACTCTATCAGTCTGAACCAAATAGATAAGTATGCACAACTCTATCAGTCTGAACCAAATAGATAAGTATGCGCAACTCTATCAGTCTGAACCAAATAGATAAGTATGCACAACTCTATCAGTCTGAACCAAATAGATAAGTATGCACAACTCTATCAGTCTGAACCAAATAGATAAGTATGCGCAACTCTATCAGTCTGAACCAAATAGATAAGTATGCACAACTCTATCAGTCTGAACCAAATAGATAAGTATGCGCAACTCTATCAGTCTGAACCAAATAGATAAGTATGCACAACTCTATCAGTCTGAACCAAATAGATAAGTATGCACAACTCTATCAGTCTGAACCAAATAGATAAGTATGCACAACTCTATCAGTCTGAACCAAATAGATAAGTATGCACAACTCTATCAGTCTGAACCAAATCAATAAATAAATAAATACACAAACTAAGTCACTCTGAACAAGATAGATAAGTATGCACAACTCTATCACTTTGAACCATATAGATAAGAACCCACAACTCAATAACTCTGAATCAAAGAGATAAGAATGCACAGCTCATTCACTCTAAACAAAATAGATAAGAATGCACGACTCAATCAGTCAATTACGGAGTCTGTCGAATAAAACTGTGTCATCCACAGCCAACATTAAAATCATTTCAACCAATCAGTTGGCAATTTATTTTTCAGTATCATAATACAACCAACTGATGTTTTATAATTACAGACTGTAACACTGAAGTTGAACAGCCTTAAAAGTCTATGGTTAAGCACCAGCAAGGAGATCAAAATTAGAATTTTGAGAGCATGCATCTTCCCTGTGGCAACATACGGATGTGAGTCGTGGACTATCTACCAGTCCTTAAGAAACAGAACAGGGGCTTTTGTCCTAAAATATTATAGAAAGATTCTCAGAATATCTTGGACAAAGAAGAGGAGAAATATTGACATCTTAAAAGATCTGAACATCAAGGAAGATTGGCTAATAAACAGCATCCTGTCTCAGAAGCTTAAATAATTTGGTCATATCAAGTGCCACAATGGATTGAAAAGAATTATAGCAGAAGGCATGGTACCAGGAAGGAGGGACAGAGGCCGACCAACATGAAGAAGCACAGGATATAAGTGTGAAAGTGCATGAGGCGGGAGAGCTGGTGAGAGACGGAGTTTCTTTCAGGCAGACTGATGAGAGCGACGTTCTGCAAAGGACCTGCTACATGATGATGATGATGAACACTGAAGTAACAATGTTGTCGAGCCATTAGCCTCGCTCTTGTAAGGTCGTGGGTTAATTTCATGGCGGCGCCATTTAGTTCACGAGTGTAATTTTTTATGGAGATCCCTGGGGATCATCACTGGAGCTAGGGAGGTCAAGCTCTGTGTGACGCTCTCAGCAGGCAGCTATATGTTCTGCGGAGAGAGACTGAGCCATTTGGGATCAAACCTGGTGCGATGAATCGATTCTCTCACCTTCACTTTGACCTTACTAGTCTTAATTTTTACAACTCCCGCCATCCAATCATAGGTCTCAGCATAGTTGCCTGGCATGTGATGTCACTTCTACACTGCTCTGGAATTTTCTACTGTCAGTCATTTCTCATACCCAACATTTAAATTAGGTCCCTCATACAGAGTGCAGTTCATCCAATCAAAAACCATCCCTGAGTATAAAGCGAGGCAGCCTTATTTGAGAAGGAGGATACCAGTACAACATGCAATTTTATGTCAACAGTTTTTGTCTGTGCTCACTTTTCCCTCTCTTATTCCATAATTTATTCAGTTGTTTTAGTCTTTGAAGAGCGATTGATAGTCTTCATTTAATTTCTTTCATTATGTCACCATTGTTGGAAATCAGTGACCCAAGATATTCAGTTTTCCAAAACCTCCCTGGACACATATTTCTTTCTGTTGGTAGTTTTATGTTTACATTATCTTTGTTTTTGCTATGTTGATATAAGTTGTGATTTTCATTATTTCTTTGAGTGGAGGTTATTAAGTTTTCTATCCAGTCTGTGATGTAAAAGGTAAAGGTAAAGTCGGGAGATATGAATCAGCATCATTGCACACAGTGATGAACCATAAGTGCTCTGCCACCAGTATGGACAGCTGATAAGAAATTGTCCACCTTTGTCGCTGTCCGCACCTAACTCTGTAGCTACAGCAACGTTCCCAGAGTGTCACTCTGGTACCCATTTCCTAGAGGCTGGGTGAACCCTGAAACCAACCGGTTTCGAACATCGACCTTGGGCTGCAGCATGTCGCAGCTGGATTTGAAAGTGAGCCTCTTATCGACTGCGCCAACGCAAATTATTGTGCAACTGTGTATAGCTTATTTATCTTTCTTTTTTTAAATTCCACTGTGTGGAGGGGAAAAAAGGGGGCTGGGGGGTGACACACATGTTTACGTACCGGATACCGCCCGACCCATCCGTCTGTGATGTGGATGGTAATACTGTATCATTGGCATATCAGACCTCTAGTATTTTATTACCACCGATATTTAGGGCATAATATTGCTCTGTGCTTATATAATCTCTGACATTTCTCATTAAATTTTTGATGTAAAGGTTAAAGAAATAGGGTGACAGCACACAGCCCTGACAGATTCCTTGCCTGATGTCAAACCAGTCTGATGTCTAACAATCTATTCTAACCGCTGCTTGTTGATCTAGAGCATTGTTATGAGGTGTACTGCATGTGATGGAAAGCCCAAATTCCACATGATTTCCCAAAGTTTCTCAGGTTGTACACAGTCAAAGTTGCTCTAGCTAGACCAAGAATTACCTTCTAGTTGCTTCCAGTTGTGCCCCTTATCAGTAAGTGTCAATACTTGATACTTGACCTGTTTTAAAGGGCAGTTAAATTCCATTGGTCATTTTCGAACCTGCACAGTGTTTAATAGGTCGGGATATGAATATAGCAACAGGCAACAGTCTGGACATGAGTTTCGTGACTTGGACTTGAGTACAACTTAAGTCACATAATAAATCTGTTTAGAGCTCTAGATATTTCTTCAATGAATTCTGCCTTGTGTAACGTCTGCACAGATTCTGCACTTTTGAAGCAGCCCAAAAGGAGATTCAAGATCTGCTGGAGCTTTGGGATCGTTCCACCTTGCAACTACGCCAGCCGTTGACACCTTCAGATCGATCTGAAGAAGACACCAAAGATGTTTCTGGGAAGAGAAGCAGCAAAGTCAAAGGTCAGTTTGTTTTCTTTGAAAACAAATTTGAAATAGACATTTCTATGTGATGTGGTTGATATCTGACATGGTGTCATTATGTTATGTGGTCTCTATATATGATGTAGTCTCAGTATATGACATGGTCTTGATATGTGACATGGTCTCATTATTTGTTGTGGTCTCTTTATGATGTGGTCTTGATATGTGATGTGGCTTCTATATACGTATGTATATGATGTGGTCTCAATATATATTGTGGTCTCTCGATATGTGATGTGGTCTCTAAATATGATGTGGTCTTTATATGTGATGTGGTCTCTCAATGTGTTATGTAATCTTTCAGTATGTTATGTGGTCTCTAGATGTGATGTGTTCTCTATATGTGATGTGGTCTTGATATGTCATGTGGTCTCTCAATATGTGATGTGGTCTCTATATGTGATGTGGTCTCTATATGTGATGTGGACTCTGTATGTGATGTGGTCTCTAAATATGCTGTGGTCTCTATATGTGGTGTGGTCTCTTGCTGTGTGATGTAGTCTCTCGATAAATGATGTGGTCTCTTGATATGTGATGTGGTCTCTCAGTATGTGATGTCGTCTCTCAATATGTGAATCCCTACTGCTTCATGACCCATTTTTTTAGCACTCACAGGGTGAAAGTGTTAACTTTCAGGAAAGATGTTACTGCCACAGTTAGCTGAGATGTATTGTGCTGGTGATGAGAGTCATCCTCATTATCAACATCATCATTAAAATTATTGTCTCTAAAATCATCACTGTTATCTTAATCACTATGATCATCTAAAATTGTAGATTTTGTGTGTATTCATGTATGCTTTTATGACACAGATACCCTGCCGACTACAGACCTTGGTAAATTAATTTTACATTCAATGTTTGAATTGAAATCATTAACATCATAGTTCCTATCAGAATCTTCATTCACTTTGAAAGCTTAGTTCACATTTAAAACTTAGTTCACATTCAAAGCTTACATAATTTTCAAAGCCTGGTCTACATTGAAAGTTTAGTTCATTTTGCAAGTTTAATTTTTAAAGTTTAGTTTATGCCAAAAGTTTAGTTCACATTGAAAGTTTAGTTCATATTGAATGTTAAGTTCACATTGAAAGTTTAGTTCACATCAAAGTTTAGTTCATACTGAAAGTTAAGTTCACATTAAAAGCTTAATTCACACTGAAAGCTTAATTCACAAAGAAATTTAAGTTCACACTGAAAGCTTAGTCCACATTGAAAGTTTAGTTCATGTTGAAAGCTTAGTTCACGTTGAAAGCTTGGTTCACATTCAATGTTCTGTTTACACTGTATGTTTTGTTCACACTGGAAGTTTAGTCCACACTGAAGGTTTAGTTCATAGTGAAAGTTTAATTCACATTGAAAGTTTAGTAAGTAGAATAAAGGACCTTTGTAAGTAGAATAAAGGACCTTTGTAAGTAGAATAAAGGACCTTTGTAAGTAGAATAAAGGACCATATAGAGAACAAACCAGTAAAAGTAACAGACCATTCCACCTATTTGGGGAGCAATTTTGACTCACAAGGAGAGACAACAAAGTAAATTATGATACAACTGGCAAAGCAACAACAGGTTTTGAAAGCCTCAACAAAATGTGGAGCTCCAAGTTATATAGGCCTAACTACGAAGATCCAATCTAATGTTATTTTAATTCTAGCATATGCCTGTGAAAGTTGGAGACCATCAAAGATATGCAACAAAAGTTGAATGCATTTGAAAATACATGAACATAAAATGGGATAAATTCAAAAAGATTGAGGAGATCCCAGAAATGTCTGTACAAATACGTGTATCGGTTGAAATAAAGTGGAGATATTTTGGGGCACACTCTGAGACGATATGAGCAGAGAATTACAAATCAGGCCCTGAAATTGGAATCAGAAAAAAAAGGTCATTCAAGGAAAGCATTCGGAAGAATAGAATTACGAGAGGCTAAAAATGGTGGGCTGAACTCCATGTCAGTTTTCCTTGTAAAATTTAATTTCAACATTTCACATGTGGTCAGTTTTATTGACATTTAATGTAAAAGAAAGACATTCTAAAATGAGAGATTATCAGAAAAATGTAGAAAGAACACAGTTTAAAGAAGTGTCCTCATTTCAGATGCTCAAAATATTGTAACCTAGCCCAGGGGTTCTCACACTGGGTGCTGCAAGCGTATGCCAGGGGTGCCGCGAGCATATGCCAGGCGTGCCTCAAGCGTATGCCATGGGTGCTGCGAGCGTATGCTTGGGGTGCCGCGAGTGTATGCTAGAGGTGTCGCCAGCGTATGCCAGGGGTGCTGCGAGCATATGCCAGGCGCCCCGCAAGCGTATGCCAGGGGTGCCGCGAGGGTATGCCAGGGGTGCCGCGAGCGTATGCCAGGCGTACCGCAAGCGTATGCCAGGGGTGCCGCGATCGTATTCCAGGGGTGCCGCAAGCATATGCCAGACGTGCCGCAAGTGTATGCCAGGCGTGCCGCAAGCATATGCCAGAGGTGTCGCGAGCGTATGCCAGGCGTACCGCAAGCGTATGCCAGGTGTACCGCGAGCGTATGCCAGGGGTGCCGCAAGCATATGCCAGACGTGCCGCAAGTGTATGCCAGGCGTGCCGCAAGCATATGCCAGAGGTGTCGCGAGCGTATGCCAGGGGTGCCACAAGCGTATGCCAGGTGTACCGCAAGCGTATGCCAGGGGTGCCGCAAGCGTATGCCAGGGGTGCCGCAAGCATAGGCCAGACGTGCCGCAAGTGTATGCCAGGCGTGCCGCAAGCATATGCCAGAGGTGTCGCGAGTGTATGCCAGGGGTGCCGCAAGCATATGCCAGAGGTGTCGCGGCAATAATCACAACATTTTTTAAAATCTGCTTGAGATTAGCGAACACAGCAGTTTAAATCAGAAATATCATTAAGGAAGCCAATAAGAGTTCTGGATACAGTTGTATTCAGAAAACAATGCTATTGGCAAGGCTGTAGTGCATTCTCAATGCATGCTTAAATTTTTTTTTTTTTTTTTTACAGATACAGGAGCAACCTTCATGTTATCTGAGGGTACAATTAACTAAACTTCCTATAAACATAATGGAAATAATAAAACATTTTCATCCAAACAGTTTCATACACTGCATTAAGGAGAAGTGAATATTAAATTTGCAGTATTTTCTTCTTTTCCTAAGTATTCAAAACGCTTTAAGGGTAGGTGTGCCGCGAATTTGTTTTGCCCGATAAGGGTGCCGCGGCACACAAAAGTTTGAGAAACACTGCCCTAGCCAATTCTCCACTGGGGACTACATGATGAAAGAAGAAGATGAATGAACAAGAAAAGAAAGTAAGTGTTACAAACACAAGATCAAAAACACACATAAAACATCAAAAGCACACACAAAAGGTTAAAAACAAATGCACACAAAAGATCAAAAAGACATACAAAGTGAGTGAATGAACTGTAGCTTGTGAAAGAACTGAGAATGTAGCAGTTTTCTAATGTTGTCGTTTGCTTGCAGAGAAACTGGACAAGGAGAGGCAGAGAGAGCAGGAGCGGCTCAGACAAGAGAAGGAAGTTGAAGAGAAAGCATCCAAGGGGGTTTGTAGTTTACATCTTTCTGCTGTTAATCTTAGATTTTGTTGTTGTTGTTGTAGTTTAGAATCATTCACTATTATACTTTTGTAAATTGTATAGCAAGATTGTTAATAGTTCAAGAAAATTTCAAGACTTTCATTAGACTTCACAAGTCTAGCATATGAGTAAGCTGATGTTGATAATAATTGCTCTTTACTTCTTCACCAGCTGATCAGAAACTAAAAAAGGAGTTATTTTTTTATGTTTACAGCTTTCTTGAAAGTTAGGGTGGATCTTCCTGAGAGGTAATGAACCAACAGTCTGCATACAAATATCTGTAAAATGGATGTGTTCCTAAACTGAATTTCTGGAACATGACTGAAAGTGGATGAACTAAACAGAACTCTCCACTGGACAAAGCAAAGAAAAAACTGTTTACAGCAGATCATTTGGTCACCATCATGTGATCTGCCAGATGTGTATTCATGTCCCCTCTGTTCTCAGTCTTTGCTATTCTGAACCATGATGTACTTCCATGTCATCATTTGAGACCATCTAGAATCTTTTCTTTTGGTTTTCTTCTGCCTTATCAAGCAGAGAACTTTCTAAGAAGCACAGGTTGCTTATTATCTGTTGGCAGTATTTCTCTCAAGTTTCTTGTATCCAGTTCTCGGCGCTGCCAGTTTAACGTAACAAGATTTTAAATAAAATTCATTCAACAAGAAAAATATTTTTCAAAGAGAAAATGCTTTCAAGGTGAAAATTGCAATGCATCTCGTCTCATAATATGGCCACAATCTGTTTCTTGTAGTTGTGTATAATTTTCTACTTTCATTAGCTTTTTTTCCCAGACTATTGTTATAAACTCTCCTGTGCAGAGTATTCACTGCAAGCATCTTCTGCTGCCTCAAGTTTTCCCTGATTTTTTTTTCATATCTCAAGATTCACTGCCAAATCATTCTCTTCTTCTTCTTCTTCTTCTTCTTCTTCTTCTTCTTCTTCTTCTTCTTCTTCTTCTTCTTCTTCTTCTTACCGTTTTCTGGCTGTAAAGTCTGCCAGAGAGTTGTGGTTGTGTTGTCTACTCTTAGACTTTGGTTTTGATCCAGAACTTCAGTTTGGTGTGCACATCTGTTGTACAGATCTGGGTTATTTGTATACAACAAACTGTTGCTTCCTTGCCTCTCAGGCAGATGCACTTTGAAGTGTCACCTCCTACAACATGTTGTTAGGGGAGCTGTGGATCCATTCTTTGTTCTTTAAAGTGGAGTCCCAGAACCCACACAGGAAAGTCAGATTGTTTGATTGTGAGTTATTTTGGTTGTACTGCTTATCCACCAGTTGAAATAGGAGCCTCTAGCAGCTGGCACTGTTGTCCTGCCCTGTACCAACATGGAAAGCTCACTTCAAGCCTTCCCATTCTTCCTGGGGGAGAGGAGAGAATTCAGCAATCCAGACTCTTTTCCCTGTCTCTATATCACATCATATTTCTTCTAGGAGAAAAGTCATGCCCTATCTTTGTTCACTGGTTAATTCTTGTGTTATTTTTAACTTGTTCACAGTTGTTTGACTTGTTCACTGGTTATTTTTTGTTTTATTTTCAACTTGTTCACCATTGGTTGACCTGTTAACTGGTAAACTTTTGTGTCTTTTTCAACCTATTTACAGTTGGTTAACCTGTTTTCTGGTTATATCTTGTCTTTTCAACTAGTTCACGGTTGGTTAACCTGTTTACTGGTTATATCTTGTCTTTTTCAACTTGTTCAGAGTTGATTAATCTATTTTCTGGTTAATTATTTTGTCTTTTTCAACTAATTCACAGTTTGTTGACCTTTACAGCTAAATCTATTTAAGGGTTTGGAAACTTCAAGACCAACCTTCCTTAGTAATCTCTTATGATATTACTGACAGTCCCAGTGTTACTATTATTCTTTGTTAGTAAGTTAGTTAGTCGACAGATTATCCTCACTGCACATTGAACCATTCAATCCATAGGTGCTCGGATCCCTCCTCAGTCAATCCTGCAGCCTGTAGTGGCTTATGACACTAGTTCTGTGTCGGTTTCTTATTCTTCTTTTGCTTCCTGCATTGTGCTTTTGTCTGTCCACACCTCTTTTAACATGCTGGTCTTGCAGTCTGGTCATGGTTGCAGATAACAGTCATCACTTGGTTCTTGCAAACGTCTTACTTCAGCATTCAGAATATCACCAAGTTTTCTTCTTGAGACCCAAGTAATACACAAGCAACTGTGTGAGAGGCAGGATTAACTAGAATAGCAAGAGATAATGCTAACTAAACTATATATGTAAGAGATAACATGGACTGAATGATTGTTCTAAGAAGGCGTTCTTTATCTACACATTATTACTGTGTAAAGAAACTGTTTCTCTTTTTACGTCAGACTGCCCATGGGCCTGAGGAAAGTGAGGATCTGGACGTAGAAGAAGAGAAGAAGGAGGAAGTTGGAGTGCCAAACATTATCATAGACTGTGCAACTAGAACATGTGTGAAGCAGCTGAGCAGTGTTAAGTCTGAAGTTCTTCCTGCTGGGACACAGGTGAGTGGTGTGTTTATCACGTCTGAGATTTTCCCACTTAGAACATAGGACAGTGTGGCAAGTCGTTTTCATGTTTGACAGTTCTGATATTTTTTTTTTCAGCTAAAACAATTGAAAGATATTTGCTCATCAGTTGGATTTTTCCAGCTGTAATGATGGAACTATGTTTATCTGCCATATCTAAAAACAGATCTTTGTCTTGTCAGATCTGAGATTTTGTCAACTGTGATAATGGAATTATTTTCAAATCTAAGATTTTACCAACTTTTGAAAATGAAAAATGACTGCTTTGTCTGTAAAATCTGACAAATCTGATGTATTACCAGCTGTGAGAATAGATGGAACTTGACAAATCTTATAAGTTATGAGCATGGAAAACTGTTTTTTTTTTCTCTCTAAAATCTGAGATTTTATGAGCTGTGTGAAAGGAACTGTTTGTCAAATCTGAGATTTTGCCAGCTGTCAGCATAGACTTTGTCAAACCTGAGATATTACCATCTGTGAGAAAATAATTTTTTTTTCTGTCAAATCTGAGATTTATTAACTTTTAATTGCTGACTTGTAAATGTTGTGTAAAACAGAGTTTAACTGTTAAATTCAGTGTATAGATTTTCCTGTTGTTTGAGAACAGAAAAGGGCCCACGTCCATCAGAGTAAAGTTGTTGGGACTGTTCTCTTGATAAAGCTTTAAAATAACCTCCCTACTTGGAGAGTGTTACTAACCTTTCCTACCTTTACAAATAATTTACTAAAAACCATAATAGACAACATCAAGATGTGATCAGGAAACGGTCTTACAGAATGTATAGTAAAAGTTGAAAGCAGAATTTGTATAAGATTTATTTTATGACCAACAAGGTTAACTGCAGATACTAGATGATAATGATGATTGTGGTGACTACATTATTACCGCCATTTTGATGATAGTGTCAATTTCATTTAGAAGATGATACATATGCCATTTAAAGCTAAAGATTATTCAAAAGAGGCAGAAAAAAAAACGGCACTAGAATAGGAAATGCAGAAACACATTTTGGTTAATGTTCAACCTAACTTGTACTGTCAGTTATTTTTTGTAATTTTGACTTCGTGTGTGGGTTCTGAGGCCTTAAAAGAGGAAGGGCATGGGTAGGGAGTGGGGGGGGGGGATGGGTGGGGAAGGGGATGGGTGGGAAGGGGATGGGTGGGGAAGGGGATGGGTGGGAAGGGGGAGGGGGGGAGGGGGTGGGAGACCCCCTGTCCTATATCAAGCATGTCAACAAGGTGATTGATTACAAGTTTACTAAAATCTGATGTGTTGGACTGAAAGGGCAGACACATTAAAGCCTAGCTGTAAACCACATGTAGCAGTGCCTCTTATTAGGAAGATTGCAGGAGAAGAGGTGATTTTGACTTGTAACTTGTATTATGGTGGACAAATTCAAATATCATGGAAGTATCTTCACATCCAACGACAGGCTGGACAGAGAGATGGGGTCTAGAATCCATCAAGCAAACAGTGTTAGCTTTCAACTTTGCCCAATACTGAAACACCCACCAATACCAATAGAAGCTAAAAGCTAAATCATAAACACAATCTTTTTACCAATACTGTATTACCAATGCTAAACCTGCGCATTAACGAAAGAACAAGTTAAAAATGGTGGCAACAACAGCTGTAATTAGATTTATTGAATGAGAAAAACTGACATGGTCTGGCCACTTGGTCAGGATGAATCCAGCATCACCAGTTGCAAGAGCACGCACAGTGAGAATGGAACCATCATTATGCAGAGGAAGACCAAAAAGAGGATGGATTGATGGAGTTAACTTGCTCAAACTCAAAAACATCAACATGCAGTAAGCTAACAAGCTAGCACTGACACAAAAATCAATCATTAGCCATGCCTTTGATGCCTAACAGCTTTAAGCAGAGAAAGTCAACAGATAGATCAAACAGAACTTGTAATTTGCAGTCTATAGTCTTGGTAATTTTGGCTTGCCACTCAACTTGTACTGGTAGAGTCATAAGTTTTGGCAATGTTTGACTTTTATCTCAGCTTGTGCGGACAGTCTCTTGGTAAATTTGACATATAGCTCAACCTCTGCTACCAGAATTTGTCATCTTAGTTAAATTTATTTGCAACCTTTGGCAAGTCTTCAATTTTAAATTTTGACTTGCAACTTGTTATGACAGAGTCAGTTAGATTCTGTCAGACTGACAAACAAAAATAAATCAGCAAACAGACGTGAAAGCAGAAAAAACAGAAACCAAAGTTCCAACATTCCAGTTGCTCAAGTTATCAGCCGGAAAAAATTCATTGAGGAAATGGAAGGCTCCTTAATTTCCTCGCAGTGTGTGGGTATTAGTTGCTGAAATTTCAGTTTTTGTTCAACCTAACTTACTTCTTAAAAGACATTAGGTTTTTAATTTTGGCCAGAAAGCAAAAATATTTTTAAAAACAATTCTAGTTATACTTTTTTTTTAAATATTGCCTTTATAACATGGTTCTTTTGAAGGAAACAAAACAAACATAGGAAAAAATCTTCATTTTAAAATTCACGCATTTTGAGCTCAAAAGAAGAGCAAATTCCTTTGGCGCGCGCACACACACACACACACACACACACACACACAAATAAGTATCTCATATCCTTAGCATTGAAGCCTGTTTACTGGAATAAAGATATTTTGTTTTGTTTCCTTAAATTACTGACATATTTGAGTATGGCATTGTTTATTTATTTTATTTGTTTCAGGTTTGAATTTTATTATTTTAGAGTTTTTAAAAATTTAGTTACAGTTTTCACAATTCCTACCTTCTTTTATGTTTATTAGATGTATATCTAGCGGAAGTTTTTTGTTGTTGCTGAAATTTGCTGGCATTTTATTGTCCTGTCCCAGACAGTTGATATATTAACCTAGTGCATAACACAGTTATTAATGAAACCAAGGCTTTTGTCTAGAACAAAAGGTGGTCACCACAAAGTGTCTTAGAAATGTGCCAATACTCACCAGCCTGTGTTTATTAAAGTAGAACTGACAAAAATGATGTCCAAAGATGGTGCCAGTACTGCATACCGTTGCGTGCTGCCAGAATACAAGCCCTGAATGTAACTCCTGTTTCCAGACAGTCTTTATTTCAGTGCCAGCGATTCTGTTTATTTGCTTCTGTACATCTTCTTCTTCTCCTCCTCCTTTTTCCCCCCTCCCCCTCTCTTTCTTTCTTCTTCTATTCTGTCTGCCCTCAAAACATGTTGCGTTGTGGTTTACAGCTAGGTTGCAGTATCAGCACTTTTCAGTCAAGCAAATCCAATTTTAACGAATCCTCATTTATTCACTTTTTATGACAGGTTTGTTAGATGCACAGTGGGTCTCTTTCCCACCCCTGCTAGATAGAATCCCAGAGCCCTGACACGGGTACTGGGAGCGAGAACAACTCTCTGGGGCCAGAGTTGTTTATGAATATCATGTAACCAAGACATGAAGAGTTCTTTGTTGTTACTGACACAAATAACAGGTCAAGCTACAGGAGGCTTCGAAAGGAATATCATCATCATTATCATGTGTCTTGTAAAATTTCAAAGGCATCCAGGTGTCTTAATTCATGGTGATCAAACTCTTCTTCTTGTCTGAATGTGTCTTGTGGCCAAGTTGACCTGCTACTTGTCTCTGCGAAAGAAAGAAAGAATCAATCAATCAATCAATCAGGTGCTATCTCCACAATGAAGGTTGGCTGCAGTGGATCTCCAACACGCACTGTCTCTCGTATTAAATGGTGATGATAATTAAAAGTTATTGTAATTGGCACTGTATTGTTTTGTTTTAACCTAAGGCCCTTTGATACTTTCAGACAACTTTTTTTTTTTATCGTTAGATGACTGTTTTTATTTTTTTCAAATTAAAAAAAATTTTTTTTAGAATTTTATGCTTGACAATTGTCAAAGTATTTGCTCCGTTTCTTTTTTGGGTTTACATTTTCTTATTTTCTTTGGGAATGCTTTGTCTTTTTTCATTAACATTTTCCATTTTTATTTTGGGTATAAATTGTCTGAATTTCTTTGACAATGTTTGCTCTCTTTTATGTATACATTTGACAAAACACATGTTTGAGATATTAAGATAGAATAAATACTCTAGTGTTTATTACATTAAATATACAGAGGTAGTATCACTCCATGGGAATAAACAATACACATACCGACAAACCAAAGGCAAGTACGTCCATATGCACCCGTCACCTATTGCTGACAGAGAGACACTGCCTCCTGCACAAGTAACCTTCAGCAGCTAAACATTTAGCTCAAAAGAAAAACTCCCCTAAATGCTATCAATAATTATTATGTTTTTATCCTGACCTTTTAAATATTTGCGTTGGTGTGAAAACAGCCAATAGCATTAAGTATGTGTCTCGTTAGCAGGTCACTGTAGGCGAGTCAGTGTAGGCAAGTCACTGTAGGTGAGTCAGTGTGGGCAAGTCACTGTAGGCGAGTCAGTGTAGGCAAGTCACTGTAGGCGAGTCAGTGTAGGCGTCACTGTAGGCGAGTCAGTGTAGGCAAGTCACTGTAGGCGAGTCAGTGTAGGCAAGTCACTTTAGGCGAGTCAGTGTAGGCAAGTCACTGTGGGCGTCAGAAAAATGACATTTGTGCGGAATTATGCTCAGTCGGAGGAGTCAATTTTTCAGCTTCTCGGAGCAAAAGAGTTAAACGTTGTTATTGTTCAAAATATGTCTACCTTTAGTAGTCAACCATGGTAGCACAGGGGCTTGTTTTCAGACCTGAAGGGCTGAGGTTCAAACCGAGTTTACCAGGTTGACCCAGCCTAAAATAGGAACCAGTCAGTGTCATTGAAGGTTAAGGTCACCAAGGTGATGTTGTTTACTTTTGCCAGTCAAATGCAGAAAATATTTTGACTGCACCTTGTGCCCAATGCACCGCTAGTGGGGAAATGTACCTATACTTTTAATTTGCTTGACATAATTAACATGCTGTATGTGTTATATGTTCAGTGGTGATATATC